GGCAGATGATAACAGGCCAAGTGGTGCAGCTGACATGCCCGACAGATGGGATGCCACCCAGAGGGACCTGGACAAGCTTGAGGAACGGGCCCCATGAACCTAATGAGGTTCTACAAGGCCAAGTGCAGAGTCCTGCACCTGGGTCAAGGCAACCCCCGGTATCAGTACAGGCTGAGGGATGAAGGGATTGAGAGCAGCCCTGCTGAGGAAGACCTCAAGATACTGGTGGATGAAAACCTGGACATGAGCCAGCAATGGGCGCTCGCAACCTAGAAGACCAACCATATCCTCAGCTCCATCCAAAGCAGCATGGCCAGCAGATTGATGGAGGTGATTCTGCCCCTTGACTTTGCCTTCGTGAGACCCCACTGGGAGTCCTGTGTCCAGCTCTGGAGCCCTCAGCACAGGAAAGACATGGACCTGTTGGAGCGGGTCCAGAGGAAGCCACAAAAGTGCTCAGAGGGATGGAACACCCCTGCTGTGATGGCAGGCTGAGAGAGTTGGGGTTGTTCAGCCTGGAGAAGGCTCTGGGGAGACCTTACTGCAGCCTTCCAGTACTTAAAAGGGGCCTATGAGAAGGATGGGGACAGACTTTTTAGCAGGGCCTGTAGTAATAGGAGAAGGGGTAATGGTTTTAAACTAAAAGAGGGTAGATTCAGACTAGAGATAAGGAGGAAAGTTTTTCACAATGAGGGTGGTGAAACAGTGGCACAGGTTGCCCAGAGAGGTGGTAGATGCCCCATCCCTGGGAACAGTCAAGGTCAGGTTGGATGGGGCTCTGAGCAGCCTGGTCTAGTGAAAGGTGTGCCTGGTCATTGCAGGGGGGTTGGACTAGGTGACCTTAGAAGGTCCCTTCCACCCCAAACTATTCTAGAATTCCATCATTCTATGATACGTTTCCTTTTACCTACAGCTTTCTCCATGTCAGTATATTCAGTGATATAACAGCAAGTGACTACAGATTTATATTGTGCATTAGTCCTTAGGCCTCCAATAATCTCATATATCTGTCATGAGCAGTGAAAAAAAAGTTTTCCTTAAGTTTTCAGGGTGTAACAAGGCAAAAAAAAGCACACTGTGTTTCATTAGTACTCCTGGAAAATATTTTACTATTGGATAGAAGCATCTGGTGAGCCAGTATGTGAATGGGTTCCTCTGCCAGCAGTTCTGTCCTGCATAGGGATGGACTTAGTCACTTGTGGCACGCAATCCTTACATCTTTTGCTGTGTGAAGGGAAGTTGGACAAAATCAGATCAGAGTAGAGCTGTGTAAAATAATATACCTTTATGCTGTCTGAGCTCTTACAGAATTGAGCTCTTGAGTAGAGGTAATGAAACCTCTCCCCTATGGATTCTTGTCTCAGATGATTATTCCTGCGATTACAGCAAGGTTACCTGCCTGTAAGGGTTCCCTGGTGTCTAATGATCTGAACACTCATGCTACAATTTTTCCACAATCAACATACTAAGACCTTTACTCTATTCAGGTGCCTGGTTTTGATAAATTTTATAAGTTGACTTTTAGCATACTGGTTAATCTCAACCTCATGTAAGAGAATAAAAATCTCAAATGCAATGTGGTGGACAACAGGGATGGAAAGAACAGAAAAACACAGGCACACAACAGATCAGCCTCCTTTCTTTATGAAAGCAGGCTAAGGAATATAAACAGGCTTTGGTTTTTGTTGGTGGGGGTTTTTTTTTCCTCCCACTAAGTAGCTTCCCAGCTGTGAAAAGTCACAGGTAGGGAAACATGGTTAAGAAGAAATGTTTAGCGGAAATTTCTTGCACTAGATTTCTACAATCAAAGGAGATCTAGGCCGGCAAAGGAAACAGCTCTTTCCAGCCACAGAACTTCAGCATTCAGAGCAAAACGTGAATTTGCTTAACCCCATTATACAGATGGGAAACTCAAAAGGCTTAAGAACATCATCCACACCCTCAGGAAAGATGCAAGCTAAAACACTGTTCACCCTACTGCTGGTCAATAAGTCATACTTAAAATTACAATGACATCCACAAATGTGTAAAGTTTAAAAACAAATCTCAAAGCAAAATATGTACTTCCCCCTCCATCCCCCAAAACAAGAGAAAAAAAACCACACAAAAAACCCCACCTCATCTACATTACTGGATGATAAATCCAATTGGATTTAGGGAGAAAAACACCCAAACCACCCCACACCCTCAAAACCCTCCTCCTCTCCAAACTCCCAATCTTTCCAGTACCCATGAGCGATTCAGTGGCTTATTCTACTAGAGCTGATTTCCTAATATAGTTTTATCCATTTTACATGACATGTAAGACAGACCAAGGAACAGGACTTGGAACCCTGCCTTCCTCCAGCTACCTCAAGAGGGACCAAGGATGTTGTTTCCACTCAGCTCTTACAGCTTCCTACTTACAGCACTTTGCCATCAAGTGGGCTGAAATGCCATTTGCCCGAGGAGGGTCTAAAGCCAGCTACTTCTCCTATACCTTGGGCAAATACTTTTAAAAGACTCTTTTACATATGGTTTTATACCACCATTTCCATTTCTAAATGACCTAAAGATGAGAGATTTTGTTAGTAATGCTCAGAGGAGGATCTTCAACTACTCAGGAACTTTCTTAATCTTTTATGGAGAGGGCAGCAGCATACAGGCAGGAGATTCCTGTCTCCCCCATCAGAGCATATCTGAATGCACTGGCTACATAACTTTAGGCAACAAAGGGATTTTAAAGTCAACAAAGAGATTACAAATTTGGCTTTTCTAGAGAATAGGCAGTATATCCACAACTTCAGCACATAACTTCCACCTAGACTGGTCTTTCCTAAGCTTTTTATTCTAAGTTCACACAGTTTCATAGCATTTAGCCAGCAGTTTAGCATTAGCTGAGGCAAAGAACATTAATCAAATCAGTGAAACAATTAAAATAGACCAGAACTCTTTCTGTGATCCAAGAAATGACGGGACAGAGCTATCTCTATGAATAGGCACCTATCTTCTTATTTTCAGACACCTCGGTGGTGGAAGTAGCTGTGGAAATGGAGACCATTACACACAGGCAAAGCACAAATGGAGAAAAGCAAATTTCCCCAGTAACTCTCAAAAGATTTTAAGCTTCAGACATATGGATATTGAAATAAATAAACTGAATTCTCCAGAAACACTAAAATCAGAAGCTGCACAAGAAGTTATAACAAGAATTACCATATGCCGGCACTGTATCCACTAGGAAGTAGTCTCCCTTTATGAAAGCTTTTACTTTCTTGATAATTGCATTATTTCTGCACCAGTGCTCCAAAATAGAGGTTTTAAAAATTTATATATATATACACACACACCCCCCAACCCTGGATTTTATTTAACAAAGATCGTAACAGAAAACTGTCTTACCTTAGTGTCTCCGGTTTCTTTGTCCTTGTACTGAACACCCACGACAGAGTCATCTTCCTCAAGCAATTGTAACACAGTCCCCTCAATGAATTTTGTACTGAAATAAAATAGAGGGGTCAGAACAAAATGGAAGAGGATTAATGATGCCAACATTTCAAAGCACTAGACACAGAAGGGAAACCAGATTTTCACTAATCTTGTCTCTGCTGACACAAACAGCTTTTCTAAATTTTACAAAGATGTGTTCTTGACCACTTTCAGAAGCCACATTAAAAGTCAAAAAGTGCTTGTCATTAATTTCAGTTCAACACTACCACTTAGTTTGATACCTGAGAATATTCTAAAACTGTAGTGTTTATCTTAGACACTCTACCACTTGGCAGAATCCCCAGCTGTGCTTCAAGTGCTCCGTGGCCATGTGAGAGATGCAGAGAGGAGTTTGACACCTAATAACGGTCAGAAACCAGGCAGCTGACTGAGTCATCCCTGCTAAGTGGTGGGAAATGCTGACAGTGCAGGTGAGACCTAATTCCAAGCAGAATGCAGGAGCAAGATCCAAAGTAGCACTTCAACACTTAACATGTACACTAGATAAAAGTGAGGTACCTAATTCTCAGAGTCGTCCAAAATAATCTAACCAACCTGCTTGAGACAAAGACATCTAGCTTTTCACCTCAGGAATTCAGGAAACACTTTTTTTTTTTTTATTGGCTATTTATGCTTTTAAAGTTCTGCTAATGCTTATGTTTGGAGTTTGAACTGAACATCCCTTACCTCTATCCTCCCAACCAGAGCTATTTGGGGTTCGCAAATTAAATCTCTGTAAACTTTTATTCCTTGTTGGATCTGAGCTGTTCCCAACAGTTCAGACTTAGCAGCTCAAAATGGACACACTCTCCCCCTCAAAAATGTTTTCATATCCAGATGGAATTCCACAGTTTGGAGAAATGAGCTAAAGATCCACATGAGAATACAACAGCTTGATATTTTAGGCTCTCAGAGGGAACATGAGCAATGACTTCATGTCTTTTCTACATGTCAGTCAGCACAGACATTTCAGAGCAGGCAACAGGGAGATTGGCTGTATCAAAATATGAATGGTTATGCATAAGCACACAAACAGGAACTTCAACAGCCAAGGAGTGCAGCAATATGTAAGGTTAATAGAAAGTGAGTCAGAGTTCTGTAGATCTTATCAGATTTGAATTTCTTTTAGAGTTGTCATTTCAGTTATGTAAGTGTTCACTTCTTTTAGTTTTTACCCACTATAAAAACAATTAACTAATGACACCCTACCTCTCTCCCCTGCAAAATTAATTTTACTCATCTGAAATAAATTCATATTGCCTAGTAACTAAAAAGAGGATATTAATCAGTAATAATTATCCGCTACATTTTCACAAGCTTTGAGATGAAAACAAAACTTCATAGCACAATTCAGAGCTCTTGATCTCTCTTGCACCTCAATTTAACATGCAGTTTTCTATGCTACAATTAAAATGGAAAGCAAACATATACAAAATGAACATTAAAGACAGTGTGGATAAAGAGGAAAGAATTTAATTCTCGTCACAAACATTACCTTTTCTAAACTTCTGCTTCAAACACTTTGTATAGCTACTGGAGTTTTCCCACAAGTTGAGCAAAGAGGTGACCAAATTTCACTGAACTTGGAGACTCAACAAGAAAGCTTTAGCTTTTATAGCTAGTAAACACAGTTGTCATTAACTTTAACTGTGCTGAAGTTAAATCTGTATCTTTTAGTGTCACTTTTAGTAATTCGTATGATATAACAGATATGATAGGAGAAAGCAATTTTCCAGTTCAGAATAAAGACATGTAAGGTAAAAAGATGATAATGCCATGTTTCCCTTGTAAGCATTATTTGGGGGAGGGGAGGAGGGAGACAAAACAAAAGAACAGCCCACAGAAAACAGCACAGAGAATCTATTCTGTTTCAATAAGTTTCCTTCTCATCTCTTGTATAAGAGAAAGAAGTCAGTTAAAGAGGAAATACCAAACACTAATTTTTATTTCATTAGGAATACAAGGTGTCTTCAAGATTCTGAAGAACAGAGGTTAGTAATTGGAAAGAGCTACTTAGTGTTTTTAGTGTTCCTTTCTAGTTATTTTGCTTGACTTCTTATCAGAAAAAGCGAAACAACACGCAAATGTAAAAGAAGCTTCATTTCTAGCATTCTGGATAACAAATATATGTCCCTGCGCATTGCAGGGGGGTTGGACTAGATGTTCCTTCTAACCCAAACCATTCTATGATTCTCAGAAATTGTGTCAGATTTGCTATTTGTTTCTTAACCAAAGAAGTTCTAAGCATTGCTCAGGGAGAAGAGGCCACTGCTTTTGGTAAGATGCCAAACCCAAGAATCAGTGGAAGAGAATCAACCCTTTAGCCTTGAACTGTTCTCTCATATGGATGGGTCAGTACCTTGCCTAATATTTAAAGCCTATATTCCCGTAGTTTAAAGATTAACTTGTCCCAAAGAGTAACGTATGATGTAGAAGCAATTCATGAGCATGCCTACAGAAAACAGAATGAGTAACTATAGCTATTACTTTCTCTCAGTCTTGTTCATTGCAGCCCTCTGTGTTGGGACAGAGTGAAACGGTTAAGGAATCTCACGGATGCTGGGAACAGTGCTGAATCTCTGGATCCCAGCTGTGCCCTTCATAAGGTGACTCACTTGGGCTCTGCCATAGCTGCCCTTCGGAGACCCATGATGAACTGGCCATGATGAAAAGATCTTCCACTCGCCACACGGCCATCCCCAGACGTTGGGTAAGGAATTTCAACCTCCAGGTTGCTCTCTATGTCATGAATTATGTAACCATTTACTATTTGTGAATCAATACCTTCTACTGTATCTGCAAAATATAAGCCAATAGATGAGTTCAAAAAGTCTTTAAGAAAGCTTAATCGTGTATGAAAAGTATTTCTTTACATAGAGTCCAATTTTCTTAAAACATACATGTTGACAAATGAATTTTTTCAAAATGGCAGACTGGAAATATGCAAGCAATTTTAATTCAAATATTAAGTGTAGATAATGTATTTCTTCATTTTCCCTGTAAGCATGCGTTTTCTAAAAACATAATTGAGTGTAGTACCTTTTGTGTTATATTCGTATTTTGAAATGCACTCACCTTCAAGACCCAGGTCTCTAAGGGCATTAAAACCTCCAGGCTGCAACAATTCTCCAACTATCCTGTCAGGTTCTTTCAGATCCCTCTCTATCACCGTAACTTTTCTTCCATCCCTCGAGAGCACTGTGGCCAAGGAAGAACCAAGGACTCCTGATCCCACAATGATAATTTCTGGATCGTATTGGGATGATAATGCTGCATTTGGAGCAGTCTCTGGCAGATACACATCTGAGAAGTTTACTTCTCTTTTACCCTTTAGAAAAGAAAGCCAACAAAGTTACATGTGCTGATGCATCCATACCATAACCCCATCAGATGGCTGACTTTGGACTAGTTCTACTGTGACCCAGGGGACTGAGAGCGCGTCAGTAGTTGGAGAGCAACTTCCAGTTTAGTTTTGTCCAAAATGAAATAAGTTGTACTCTACAATGGAACAAAAACATAAGCAGAGAAAAGAAAAAACAGCACCCCCTAAAAAAAAAAAAAATAAAATCAGGATACTTGCTTAAAACTGCCCCACTGATCAAAGATAAACCACTAACATAGTCTCAGAGAAGCTGAAAGTCAAGTTCCTATAAAAGGCAGTAAGCCAAGGCTGTCCCATATTCTTGGTCTATAAAGTAACATACCAAAGCCTTCATACTAGTGAGCTACTACCACAAGGAGACCTTAGCACTTTGCAATGAAAAGAATTCACTGGAAAAGCTACTTCCCTTTAATTTTACTGTAAGTAAACCTACCTACCAAAAATAACAGCTTATGGTAATACTCAGCATGGAAAAGTGTCAGCAGAAGCAGCTACCTGGGAAATGTTATAAAGAAGTGGTCCTGAAATGAAAATTCCTCAGACAGTCGAAAGTATAGGCAAAATTACCATTTGCATACATGTAGAACTGTTAAGAATTAACACACATCAGATTACATATGTTAACATATAAACTGGTACCTAAAGACCAGCTATGTTATAGTATCTTCCCAACAGCATCTAACCACACACACTTCAAAGTGAAAAAAAATTGTAAGGGGAATTCCAGTGCAAACCTGCAAGTCATTTCTCCAGCTGGTAGAATGAAGAATAGAGCCCGATTCACTCTTTCACAAATGCCTCAGCACTGCAGTGCTGACAGTGGTAAAAATACAATTGCATCAGTGAAATGAATGCCCAGAACACCACCACCACCAGGATTTCTGGTGAAATAGTGTCATGTTTATATCTACAACTCAACAAGGGAGTGCAAAACTAACTATCTCAAATCAGATAATACAAGAAATTGTGGTAAAGGCAGCGTTTACCAGAAAAAAATAAAATAAAAAAAAAAATAAGAACCTTTGACTCGCAACTAAAAATAGCTTCAAGTTCTTTTGTGCAAGGGGTCAGTGCCCAGCTGCAAATGCACAGAAATACACAGTAAAGGAGCCAAATAGTGCCAGCCCACAGACGTACTGAATATGCATGTCCAGTGAGTAGTCTTTGATGGCAGTACTCCAGCTAAGCTCCTGCCATGAACTAAGCTCTCTCCACTGTCTCACAGCAAGTCTTACGCAGGGCTCAGTGGAACAGACTGACCATCTGAGCTCAGGTCCTGTAGCTATTGTACAAGCAACAGTTTAGCAATAATTTTGAAATAACTCTATCTGCAGTTGTCTAGACATATGTGATTTATACAGAAATATTAGGAAGCTGATGACAGAATAGCTGAGGTTGGAAGGGACCTCTGGAGGTCACCTGGTCCAAAGCCCCCCTGCTCAAGCAAGGTCAGTTACAGCAGATTGCCCAGGACCACATCCAGTGGAGTTTTGAGTATCTCCAAGGTTGGAGACCCTACAACTCCCCCCTGGGCAACCTCTTCCAGTGCTTGGTCACCCTCACAGTGAAAGAACTGTTTCCTGATGTTCCTGGAACCTCCTGTGTTTCAGTCTGTGCCCATTGCCTCTTGTCCTGTCACTGAGCATTGCTGAAAGAGCCTGGCTCTGTCCTCTTCCCACCCTCCCTTCAGGTATTTATACACACTGATAAGATCCCCCTGAGCCTTCTCTTCTCCAGACTGAACAGTCCCAGTTTTCTCAGCCTCTCCTCATAGGAGATATGCTTCTGTCCTTCATCTCTACAACAGGCTGGCAATTGAAGGTATTTTTCTCCTAGCATAATAATCCTTTACTACAAATCTTTCTTCAAACACATTTGATTCTACAACCCCCCTTAATCTATCACTTCAATGTTTCCCTGTTTCTCTTGTCATCCCACACTAATGCTAATAACTCCTTTAGAGGCACAGCAGTCAGAGAGGAGAGCAGGAAGTCGTTGCACCCCACATGCCACATCCGAATTAAATTTACCTTTCTGGATTTGGGTTGTTCGACTTGAGATCCTGGGGTGGGTTTGGCCCAGAAGAAGCCAACAAGTGGTAAAGCTGAGAGAACATCAGAGAGCATCCTCAGGTCGGTCTTCCGCTGCTGCTGCTGCTGCTTGGGCCCCCTGAAGCGGTACCTGTACGACAGCAGCAAGCCAAGGGAGAAAAACACTAACACGGAGAGTAATACCTCCTTATTAGCGTAAGTCATGAGGTCTCCACACTTTTTATACACGTAGATGAAGGAGGCGATACCCAGAAAGGTCCACATCGTGAGGGGACTGCTCACTGCTCCTGGTTGTTTCCTCCAAAGCTTTCCCGCTGACAGATGCTGCCCCAAACGGGTTTTAGCACAAGGTATGAAAAATACACGTATAGAAACACAAAGGCTTCCGTAGCGATGGGAGGGAGAAAGATCTCAATGAAAAAGGATGGAGTTCCACAAAAACCCTGTAGAGGAACAAGCGCAGCCGCGCCGGACTGACACAGAAGCCCGGAGGGAGGTTCCAGAAACGCCCCAAAAAATCAGTGTAAAACGTCTTAAAAAATGACCGAGCTCCGCACAGCACCGTAAGAAACCG